ATTTTTTACAGAGAGGAAGGGAGAGGGATAGAGAGTTAGAAACATCGATGAGAGAGAAACATCGACCAGCTGCCTCCTGCACATCCCCCACTGGGGATGCGCCCGCAACCCAGGTACATGCCCTTGACCGGAATCAAACCTGGGACCTTTTAGTCCACAGGCCGACGCTCTATCCACTGAGCCAAACCGGTTTCGGCGAAAAAAAGCATTTTAAAGCAAACAAGAAAATAACTGCTCATATTACACCATACTACTGGGATAAAGTATGCCAGAGAATTTGGAAAAAAAGTACTGACCAATGTTTTTTCATCTGTGGAGTTCATGGGTCTTTTTCTCTTCCTCCTTTTTTTTTTTTAAAAATATATTTTTTATTGATTTCAGAGAGGGAGATAGAAAAATCAATGATGAGAGGGAATCATCGACCGCCTGCTTCCTGCATGCCCCCCACTGGGGACCGAGCCCACAGCCTGGGCATGTGCCCCTGACCAGAACCAAACCTGGGACCCCTCAGTCCGCACGCCGATGCTCTGTCCACTGTGCCAAACCAGCTAGGGCTCTTCCTCTTTTTTTATGGTCTCTTTCTGGTAACTATTAGCTTCTATTTCTATCTCAACAGGGCTAGGACTAGAAGCAAGGAAAAACTGAAGGAAACTTCCCCAAATGTTAATTATTTACCTCTGCTCCTTATATTGGATCACAAATCAGTGTCTTCCACATACTCTCTACCAGGTTACTTCCTGAAGCAGCTTAGTTTTCTTCCCATTCATACCCAGCTTTGAGAAAACTAGTGGTTAATAAGGCTTTAGAATTAGGCAGAATTAAGTCCTGGTTTCATTTGCTAGTATGTAACTTTGGGCAAATTATTTAATCTATGGTTTTCATTGTAAAATGAGGTTAATGCATACTTTCTAGGATTGCCCTAGTGATTGAAATAGTGAATATAAAGTGCTTAGCCCAATACCTGACACAGTTACAAAAAGTTCATTCAGAAAGTATTTGTTGAACACCTATTATATGTACTGAGCACTGTCCTAGGTACTTGTGATACATCAGTAAACAACAACAACAAAAAGATTCTACCCTGGAGGTTGTTTTATGGCAGGAGTGGAGGAGTAGACAATATACATAATAAATAAATTATATATCATGTTGCAAAGTGGTAAGTGCTCTTGGAAAAAAAGAAAAAGTAGAGTAAAATAAGGATGAGCAGGTATGTTTGCAGTTAATCAATAAGATGGTCTGGGTAAAGAAGATCATATTTGAGCAAAGATCTGAAGGTGGTTAGGAAATGATGAGCCATTTGGGTATGGGGAAAGGTGTTCTAGACAGAGAAGACCTCCATTGTAAGGCTTTAGCGTGAAAGCATGCACTGTGTGTTGGATAGACAGCAAGCAGGCCCCAGTAACTGGAGTAGACTGAGCAAGGAGAATAGTAGGAGATAAGATCTGGGAGATAAGAAGCCAGTTTGTGTAACCACGGTGGCCATTGTAATGAGGTGGACTTTGAGTGAAATGGAGGGATGTTTCAGGTTTTTGAGCAGGTGAAATATATGATCTGCCATAGATTTTGAAAGGATCACTCTAGCTCAGCCGTGGGCAAACTACGGCCCGCGGGCCGGATCCGGCCCGTTTGAAATGAATAAAACTAAAAAAAAAAAAAGACCGTACCCTTTTATGTAATGATGTTTACTTTGAATTTATATTAGTTCACACAAACACTCCATCCATGCTTTTGTTCTGGCCCTCCGGTCCAGTTTAAGAACCCATTGTGGCCCTCGAGTCAAAAAGTTTGCCCACCCCTGCAGCTGCTGGGTTAACAATAGGCTACAGGGGACAAGAGTGAAGCAGGGAGACCAGTTAGACTATTATGGTGGTAGCAGTGGAGGTGGTGAGAAGTTGTCCTAGTATACATGTACTATGAGATAGAGCCAACAGTGTTTGCTTCTGGGTTGAATGTGGAGTGTGAGAGTCAAGAAAGGCTCCAACATTTTTGGCTAGAGCAACTGGGAGTATGGGATTGCTGTCA